AATACGACGTCGTAAACGATGTCGGAATTTTCAACTGGGTAATGTAACTTATTTTCCTTGTTTAAAAAAAAATAATTATTGAATTGTAGTTATGTAATAATTTATGTTTGATCACATTAATTTCATATAAGAAAATTCTGGTTTAAAGTGAGTTGTAATTAAGTATTAGCATTATACAAATTACATTAGTTTATTAAAAAAAATTTGCTATACGAACATTGTTACTTAATTTATTTCCAAAAAAATTGAAATTTATGCAGAGTTCACTTGATTAAAATTTAAATTCATGTCATTCTAAATTAAAATGTTGAAGTTAATAAACTCCGAATATAAAATTGGGTATTAAAACGCATATACCATTGGAAAAAAATATATGTATACATCTTTGTAATAATAAACATCTGAAAAACTGTTTGATGACTTTACAAAATAATATAAGTATCTGTTTAAAGTATTTTCGTTATAAGAGACATTTTCTCAAGATATTTCATAGCCTCCCCTGGTCGAGCCCGTTAAGGCGCTCCCAGTGCGGTTGAGAGCTATGATGGTCGAGGGTTCGCGTCTCAGAGTCAACACGTCGGAAGAATTTTTTTTTTTTGATATTATTGACGCTAAATAAAAACAAAATGTAACGAAATCTAATTTTATTTTAATAATTTAAGATAAATTTATATTTTTTGTAACAGAGATATAGATTTGTTACATATGTGTAACCGGGAACTCATTTATAAATGCTCTTTTAAATTGTTTAATAATTCTCAGTAGAGTTTTAAGAATACTCTTGCGTGAAAAAATATTAAATAATATTTTTTTAAATTAAAAAAAAAGAAAATCGGAATTGACATAGTTTCCTACATAGTAAACTACATCGTAAACTATATCGTTGCCTGTCCCATTTTCCAACATAGCTTTCTATATAGTTAACTATATAGCTTCATATATAGCTTCCTATATAGGAAACTATATGGGAAACGATATAGTTTCCCATATAGTTTCCTATATAGGTTTCGATATCGGAATTTTCGATAGGGTACCTTAACAAAACAAAATTTGTTCGAAAATTTAATATCTTTATTTTTATAGAAATAAAAATGTAATGGTTAAGATAACCTAATTCGAATATGAAGTTACGGTCTTTCAGTTTTGCACGGCAGAATAAGGAGGTGGATCTTGGAAAGAAAAAGTGTGTCGGGTTTTTTGCAAGAGTAATGAGTTCGGGGTCCTCTAGCCACAGTGAAGCCACTCACGGGTAATTTTGTAAGTGTTGTAGAAACAGGGGAAATATTTTGTTGTCTGCTGCTGGAGTCAGCTGTAAATCGATTTCTATCACATTGTTTTTCACAGAATTAAAATTTTTTTTTTAAATTGTAACTGTTATAAAATATTTAATTAAAGAAAAGAAAATTAATGCAAGAAATTTTTAAAAGATTACTTCATTTTATTATAATCTTAGATTTCAGATTTTCTTAAAGTTATTAAAAATATTTATTTAATTCTTTTGTAATAATTTTAATTTATTTTATTTTTTTATTACTATTTCATTTTATTTATTTTAATAATTTTCCAATTTATTGTTTTAAATATTTATTAATATAATTTAAATTATTTAATTTAATTTCATGTGGGGCATTCCACGGGAGATTTTCATTCAAAATTTTTTTTTCCCCGAAACATTTTTTTCGAAATCTATATGAAAAATAAGGATATATGTATTTTTTTATTTGATAAAAATGAAGGAAGTTATGATTTTTTGAAATTTAACGTCAACGATGGAAGTGTGTTTTTGGGACATTTTTTAATCTATTGTACTAATAAATTAAAAATTATGCTATATATGAAATTTGTTCATTTTTTCTTAAATTTTTCAAATATCTGCTCAAAAATAACGTACCTATAAGAGAAGCAACAAAAAAGTTGAAATTAAACTTAAAAGTCAAAATAATAATAAAAGTGAAATAGTAGGGGAGCCCAATATGTTTTTTGGGATTAAATTGAGCGCGGCAGATAAACACAGGGGGAATACCTTGCATGTTGTTGAGTACATCTTCCAAGTATTAACTCTTTTTATCAAGGCGTCTAGGATAGTCCATCAGATTAGTAAAAAAATTGATAGTTGGAGATATTGAAGCGCGTTAGGTTCAGGTAGGTGGGTTAATAACTAGTTAAAAAATGTACATTTAAAAAATGTGTCGATGTAAGCGTAACGTAAGGGAGCAAGAGGGTTAGAAATTTGCAAAAAAAACGTTGTCTTGACATTCTCGAGAGCGGTTAAATTTTTTTTAATTTGAAGGAAATAACACAAGAATCACGAATAAAGTATAATCTAACGATTTCCAAAAGGCAAAGTAATGAAAATCGTCTATGTAGAGTAGAGCGCGCAGTTGGAGTACAACACGCATTCCCCAATCCGTGCCTGTCCTTCCTTTTCACTTTATCCCTATTTCTGACTCTCTCGCACAATCCCGATTCCTGACACTGCTCTCCGTCGCCATAACACCATTACAGCTGATCACAAAACAGCTGTCAGATTAACAATATTCCTCAAAATAATCGTCAGATTTTCGGCTATCATGACTGCAGCATGAAGCTGCACCATCAGTATAAAAATCTGACACGCTCGAGTATTTCAAGATGGCGATTTTTTTTTGCATTTTCAACAATTCGCTACGAGCTTGCGTCACTTCCGAAACGTCAGTCTTTTGAATGGGAGCATTTTTAGGGTTCATTTAACATCCTCCCTAAATATCTGACGCGTTCGAACAAAATTTTTTTTCTATTTTGTATCTATCCAGATTGCCACCAGCACCACGCAAACCGACAGCCCACACAGCACATTATATTTCCTAAACATTTCATGAATATTTCATTGAAAGATTTGAAATATTTCAATGCAAGGTTCATGAAATGTTTATGAAAATTGGCTGGCCTATTTTTGATATACATTCAAAGGCAGAATTTATTTACTTTTCCAACCATATAAGTTACAAGCTTCTAACTTTTTTCTAACTTAAAATATCTTGTTTTAAAGTCAGGATCAAATTTCCAGATCCGATAATTTCTGTATTTCAAGTATTACAACACTACAATATTAACTAGGTGTTTATTTCATGCCCATTTAGCTTCCTCATCATGATACACTTCGTTCACCCCAAGTCGGCCGTACGTATAAGTGAAAAATGTTTTTAAAGTTAACAAACTTTTATGAACAGAGCAGATTGTACGTATCTCGCATACTTCGGATCAAAACTACAGGCGAACCTCTCACAAGACAAATTTCCCCTATCGTGTTCCCCTTCCATAAAACTTTAGATATATATTGCGTAATGCGCAGTTGCGTCATGTGGTGTATATAGCTGACAATGTAAACAGAAAATAACCTGCCTAAAAACGTGCAAGAAACTTCGATCTGTGATCAAAGTTTTGGGTATGGAAAAAATGCAAGAAAGAAATTTATGATTAATTTAAGTAATCTCTAATATTTTTTATATTCATCTCTTTATTTCTTCTAACATAATTTCCAATAAACTCCAACATTATTGTGAAATAGACCGCCATGTGCAAACGGTCACTGCGCATCAATTTTTCCTCTCGCCAAAAACCTGCTTTAAGAGAACCCCCCACTAAAATTGTCATATGAGAGGTTTCTCTGTACTTAAGTTTGAGGTTACTTTTAGAACTCACTTAAGTCTACTTTTGTGAGTTTCGAGAAAAATATAAATAATAATAAGATATTAATTAATCTCTCGATTACATCGCTTCCATTTTTGATAAAATGTTTCTATATTTAATAACGTTTCAATGTTGTATTTCGTTTGTTGAAAAATCATGTAAATTGTCACAGGCAAGTTCTAAACGTAACCTCAAACTTAAGTAGTTTTGATCCGGAGTATACTGCTCATAAAAGTTCTAACTCCCGAAAAAGTTTCACACATTAAGTACATTTTTAACAGAACATTTAATTTACGTAACTTCTAAAATATTTTTCACTTATACGTACGTTCGACTTAGGGTGAACGACTTATACATATTCCAGATTAAAAGAAGAATTACAGCTAAAATAGCGATCAATTTTATAAATATTGGTAAAATGTAAACTGAACTATATACATCAATCGATTCATTTTCATGCCAGGAATACAATTTTGATAAGAATTAATTAAAATTTCTATATAAAAAAAGTTATTTCAAAAAAAACAAAAAACGTTTTTTTTAAAAAAAAATGAATTAATCTATGGGTTTCAGTAAAATATGAAATTTATACAGGTTAATCGATTTGTTTTAATGCAAGAAATAAGTTTTTTACCAAACAAAATTAAATTTACAATAAAAAAATGTGAATATATTTGGAAATACTTGTGTCAGATTTTAGGTATTAATGACTGTAATAAAGATACAAAATTTCAGGACAATCCGTCAAAACGTTTTTGAGATAAATTATACACAATATTTTGTGACATACACACACACATACATCTGGACATTTGCTCAGAACTTCAAATATATTAATTCTAGATGAGAATGAGTCCATATAACCTTCTTTTGAAAAATTGAAAATCGTCACGAATGCAAAGCTTCCTCATGAGGAAGCAAAAATCAGGTAATTTATGTATTGATCAAATTTTAATATTCAATATTAACTAATTGGTAATTAATGTTTTTAAATAAGTGCAAAATTTAAAGGTTGACTTAACCGACTGTAAGTAACACTATTACCCATTGGTGCTATAACTGCTACATGTCCTTGATGGAACCAAAGTTCTATAAGAATATTCTTTAAATTTCATAGAACAATTACAGAACGTGTTTGCTGGGATAACTCTTTAATTCTTGAAATTTTGGTATTAACTAAAAGTATAATAAGTATAAAAGTATATATAATTCTTTTGTTTGTTTCTTTTCTTATTATTTTGTATCCCATATATAGTCCAGTTAGGAATGCGGGAAAATATTATTATTGTAATAAATAAATAAATTAATAAATAAATATATAAGAGACAAAATATTACAGTAACAATTTTATTAAGTTTATGAAACAATATTTCAGTGCATAAAGATTGCTTACAATCTGCGGAGTTTATAGAAACTCGTATTTTTAAATAAAATTATAATAAATTAAATTTTTTTTCTAATTCGACTTTATTTCTTTACAGAAGCTGGTTCGGGAAGACTTCTCCTGAAATTCGGAAATTGTTCCCAAGGAGCGGAAAGCTCAAATTTGCGAAATTCTTGTGCTAACTCGAGTGGCTCGGCGACTACTCTCTTTTTTTCATCGTCGTATCGAATCTAAAACCCAATTAAAATTATGTTATAATTAAGAGAAAGTATCAAGTAATGGAAATATTTAAGCTCTTTGTTTCTATCAGATAATTTAAAAAAAAATTAAACATTTATAGGGATGCCACGCTTTTGCTATACTAAAATTCCTTGACTTTTCCAGATTTTTCAGAAGAAAAAACGTTATTTTTCCAGATTGATTGTAAAAACTTTTTTTTTAGAATAGGGAAGAAAAAAAGAATATATGTTTACTCCCTCTTACAAATATAATATAATATAATTATTATTTTACGAATTTAAGGGATCCCTTAAATTTTAATGATTGCAGGAAGTTATATTTTTCTTCTTGCATCATTTCGGTCCTAGAAACATACAGGATGATCAGAAAAAGAAAATTTTAATTTTTGACCATTTTAGAATTTTTCTTTTTTGAAAACATTAATATTTTTGAAAAACCATGAGCGAGATTCTGAAGAATCATTAAAATGTGTAGAAAAAATTTGACTATGGAAAATACTTAAAATTGTAAAAGAATATATATTATATTTAAAATATATTAATTTTTTAAGACTTTAATTTCTAAAATGGTCAAAAATTAAAATTTCATTTTTTTGACCATCCTGTATGTTTTTACGACCGAAATGATGCAAGAAAAAAATATAACTTACTGCGATCCTTAAAATTTAAAGGACTCAAAATAAAGGTGGTGACTCCTCTTAATATTTAGAATACATTCTTATGAATACTTAAAATTTTCAAATAAATGTTTAATTTAAGTAATACATACTTAATATTTTTTTATTTAGTTATAAAAGGATTCCGTTTCTAAAGTAATAAAAAATTAATAAAAATAGTAACAGCAAAATAAACATAAATTTACTTATATTATCACTATTAAATTTGTTTGCAACTTGTATAGTTATTCAAGAGTATTTTTATTTCTTACGTAATTTATTAAAACAATTTCAATGTTATTATTTTTTAAATATTCGTATTTATAATAAATGTTAACAGTTAAATTTAAAAGTTAGAATATTTCTCGAATCAAAGCAAAAGGTTAATTTATATAATTTTTTTGGAATCAAACAATTTTTTTTAAACTCGGAGATCGCTTGTTATTGGTCGTTAGACGATAAGTTCATAGTTTTGAACCGATACAATTTGACAGTTTGGTTGTCAAAATAAATAAAAAACGATAAACTCACGTGACCTAGTGTGGGAAAACAGTATACATCTTACTCTAAAATAAGAAAAGATTTTTGTTCCAAATATTTGAGGGGTGATAGATTGGCATACAATGTATCTCGCTCTTCTCCGAAAAATACATAAATTTGCGTTAAATTATTTTAAAAATGAAGTTTAAAAAGTGACATATTTAAACGAAAATGCCAAGAAACATGGCGGCGCATACACAATCGTTGCGTATGTGTCAGTCACGGAGGAATAGTAAGGAGACCGATCTCTGCGTTTGAAAATGTCGGAAAAACATGTACGATAAGTGCCAGGTTCAGTGCATTGTACTCAACTGGCCGAAGTAGTTGAGCATGCGCATTGGACCTCAATTTTGACAGATGAAAAGTGTGGTTATGCGATATACATATATATGTCACAAAAAAATCTTAGTGTTCAGTGTTTATTTCATAAATTTTATTTACCATTGCGATATTGTATCTCCAAAATCATGTGTAAGTATATAATAATGTATGCTATTGGAATATTTAAAGTGTCAATAAATTGAAGTAATTATTAAAAGAATAATGGAGCCATAGTAATTATAAACATATTATTTATTATGTATGTCATGAAAAAGATTTTTCTTACCAAGAAATTATTAGTTTTCAATTTGTCAAATATTAACACAATAACATATAACAATAACACATAACCCCTTCATCACAACACGCATGGAAGACTTGAGAAATATACGTCAGCCAGATCTCACTCGCACACTTTTTGCGAGAGAAAGAGACAGCACATGGCTAATGCGCATGCTCAGCTACCTTGGTGGTTGAGTAAAATGCAGTGAAACTGGCATTTATCGTACATGTTTTTTTGACATTTTCAGAAGCGCTACTACAGCAAGATCGGTCTCCTTAATATTCCTCCGTGTGGAAGGAAAATGAAAATTGTTTATTTTTAAACAAATTGATTTTTTTATCGTTTATCAACTTTGTTTGTTTGTCCAAGCATTGAATTCGTTTGTCCAACCCTTAAATTAATTTGTCCACCCTTTAAACTTTTATTAAAAAAAAAAAAAAATTGTTGTTGTTGTTACAAAAAATGTGGACTAACTCTGAACACACGATACGTGTAGTTGAAACCGTTAATTTTGCATTTTTTTAGTAGTTTTTAATCTAAAAAAAAAATTTTTTGATTTTTTTCAAAAACAAAAGGTGGACAAATGAAAATTTTTGTTGGACAAACGTGGACTTATTGTGGGCAAACGAATGCAATATAGAAAATGAAAAAATATTGAACTGGCGGTTTCAACTTCACAGACCTGTTACCATAGCAACCATTACCATAGCAACCGTTTCAATGGTAAAGTTGTAGCTGACAAAATTTTGAAGAAAGTCTGATTTTTGTGTAAAATCACATGAGAAGATATTATTATGATTGGTCGAAAATTGGCTTTTTCTATTTCCATAAAAACTTTACGTTTTGAGGTGCCCTGAATCGAAAAATCATGGTCCGGCGAAAAAGGAATGTGAAGCATTTCATCATATACAGATGCAAATATTTGAAGAAATTTCAAATGATATAACTTCTTTTATAATTTACAACTTAAGAGAAAAAAAATAAAAGTAATAAACAATAATAAATAATAAATTTACAAAAGAAATTTATATATTTTGTTTTATTACTTCATATTACTTATTATTAAATATTTTTATTTTATTGTAAAGAATAGCGTTTTTAAAACGTTCATAACTTTAAAATAATAAGACATACAGAAATTGTTGTATATCATCTATTAGTATAAACATTCTTGTATGCTTCATTTAATAGTTATGAATATTTTCAAAACTGTTCTTACAAAAGTTTCGAATTGCCGCGATTTTGACTATGAACATCAATAGAGTGCTTGGATACAATAAGGGGACGTACGCTCGGCGAGTCACTTGAAAGCCAGTCAGAGGTACCCAAGAAGACTAGAGACAGGAGAGTAAAGTAGAGTAGTGGGGGTAAGACAAATCTGGTAGGTATATGAGGGCGACCCTAGAAGGCGTCAAGTATCTATTTTTTGATTCTGCGCATAATATATATATGTATGTATGACGTATATATCTTACATGTGATTTGTTTTTGTTATGGCCGTCAAATCAAAAAAGCCTGTGTTAGTTTACAAAATTAGCAATTTTTAAATGTTAAGTTAATTTATATTTGATCAATAATGAGTGGAAAGTGTTGTGTAACTAATTGCTGTGATAATGATGAAGATAAAGAAAATCATCGAACATTATTTCCCTTTCCGAAAGACGAGGTATGTCATATTGGACTTGTATTAGTTTATATTATTTATGTTTTTATTATAGTAATAATGTCTAATAATAATTATTAAAAAATGAAAATGTTAAATAAAAATATTCAAAAGTTTTAATTTACTGTTTATTTATTTATTATAACCATTTTTTGTTGTAGAAGTCTAGAAAAGAATGGTTAAATGCTATTGGACATAACCTGAAAAAATACCGGCTTGATGTAAAGCAATTATATATTTGCAACCATCATTTTAACGAAGATTGCTTTTATTCAAATGGTTTTTTTTATTCACTGGTTCTTGTAAAAGACAATTAAAAAGATTAAATTTTTTTTCTTTACGATAAATATAATCTATTTACTTTTTCGTCTATGAGCAACAGCTGATCAGCTGTGCATTCACGCGAATTTTACTACGCCCATGACTATGCCCAATACAAATATCTTTGACTATACACATTTTCTCGGTAAATGTGTGTGAAAGATGCGCAGAATCGAAAAGAGTAGTTGACGCAATCAAGGGTCGCCCTCATATACCTACCACTGTTGACTCAATGCTCTGCATGAGAAAACGGTCGAGTTTACTCTCCTGTCTCTAGTCTTCTTGGAGGTACCAAAATGTGTAAAAAATTAAAATTCGAAATTTAAAATTTTGAAAAATTCCACCTTATAGTGAATAAAAATGCGCATCTTTTTTTTCTTTGAGATTTTTTTGCATAATGAATATTATAGATAATAATGGCAAAAATGTCATAAATTTTAATTCCCAAAATTCATTGAATTTTTAAACATAAATTGTCGTATCTTCGACAAAAATTGGAGAATTCTCTTGATATTTGGTATACAAATGCATTTTGGTCTATAGAAGGCGACAATATTATGAGAATGTTAAAATTAATTAATTGTTTAACAATTTTTTATTGTTAATATTGACCCTGTCGGAAAATATGTTTCCTATCTTTGTCTGCAAAAAGTATGCGGGGAAGTTTCAAATTTTAACAACTTCCAGTGAGACATTTGTTCATTATAATGTAAAGAAGTTTTCTGTAAAGTTGCAGAAAGATTGCTTTTTTATTTACAGAAATACAATAGTTTTTAACAAGTTGCGCGCGCCGTCAACGTTCGCAAACGTGGAGTCTTTAAAGACACTTGCTTGGCAAAGTTTTATATATATAATATTATATAATTTTATTATCATAATTTTATTATTATATAATATTATTATTATATAATATACAACATTTATACTTTTTTAATAATAGTATAAAATGTGATATATGAGGAGCTGGAAAGTAAAACTCGCTCTCCGCTCGGATGGACTCCGTAGAGCCAGTCAAACATTTGAAAAAGTGATGAAAATTGAAATTCAAAATTTTGAATTTTGAAAAGTACTACATTATAGGAAATTAAAAGGCGCATCTTTTTTTCCTTTGAAATTTTTTTATAAAACGAATATTTTAGTTTCTAGAGACCAAAAACTGAGAAATTTAAATTGTTAAATTTAATTAAGTTTTAAAACATAAATCATC